GAGTGCACAGTGCTGCACATCGCAGTACACAGCACAGCGCTGCATCTTTGCTACATGCTTTCTGCATCAGCATCTCGATTATTGTACAACATACAATTGCATGGTATTCACATCATACCATAAAAAGAATACATCATCAGACCATACTAAAATACAATGTCTAAAAATAGTAATGATGGTGTCACAATTCCTACTGCATTTAGGACAGTAGCTCCACAGCCTTGCTACAGAGCAGAATAAAATCCATTCACCCAAAGACTGCCTCACTGAATCAGTGACAGTGCGAACACAAGGTGGAGTGGAGCATACTGTAGCATGAGAGCAGTTCATTGTGGTAAGGGGGCATGAGACCATTCAAAGCTTTAAATACAAGTAAGAGAACTTTGTATTGAATTCTTAATATTTCAGGGAGCCACATGTGTCCAAGGTCAAAAGTAGAAACTATGGCAAAATACATTTGCATTACGCTGTGAGAAGCCACCTTTTAAGGCGCTATATAAAAAAGTTTATTATTATATTATTATTATTTAAAATCAAGAACAGGAGGAACTCCTTTAAGAAAAAGGTCTGTAGGAGTCTGGAACAAGCTGCCCAGCAATGTTGCTGAAGCTAATATCCTACTTTTTTCAATAAAATGCTGGGCAAGATTCTTGGAACAATTAGCAACTAGTAACCAAAAGGGCTAGATTGATTAAATGGCCAAGGCAGAATAAAGATATCTCCTTGCTGACACGACCACTGCAGAGAAATGTCTCCCAACACACAGAACTGATGACACTAACAGACAGACAACAGTGGAAAACATCAGACAGTATTACAGTGCAACATGACATTCACCAGTGACTTGAAGCCTCCTTGAGCAAACAGCTGGATGAACTTGGATCAACTGGATCAATTAGCCATTAACTACCAAACAAGCTAGATGAGCTCAATGTCTCATCTCTTTCATATTGGAGCTTATATTCCAATGACTTACTGTGCTGCTGAACTCTGCTCCTCAGCCCGTTCACCCACTGGTCCCGCAGGTCCTGGCTGGGAGCCGTGAAGACAGTCCGCCCCACAGACCAGCGAGGACTCCTGCTGCTCCGCTGCACGTAAAACACTGGACACACGCAGACACGGGCCAGGGGTGGACACATGCACGCAGACACGGGCCAGACACACACCCAGACACAGGCCAGGGGTGGACACACGCACGCAGACACGGGACAAGACATGGTAAGACCCCACTGCTTTGATCATTCCTCTATGATGGCTGTAATTGCTGCCAAAATGACTTCCACCAAATATTGAGCTCACTGGTCTGAATACTTGTGCAACTGACATTTCAATTACTGTAACTTATCTTTCTTCTGGAAGTCTTCAATTTAAACATTCAGATTTTGAATAAAATATTTGGTTGAAGTAAAACATTAGACATCATTTTGTAATTTTACCAAATGTGCCACCACAGTGTGGGTCTGAGTACTTCTGACACGCCTGTGTCACAGACTGGATGGCGCTGAGCTCAACGCCAGAATCAGGGGTGCTGCAGCTCCAGGCCACAGTGGGCTGCTCCACAGAGTATATAAGGCCTCGAGCCAAAGAGGACTCACCGGTGAAGTCTCTCACAGAGTCCTCTTTGTTGCGGTTGGGCAGAATCTGCGTCTTCCCCTCTTCCACTGCAATCAGCTCCATCACTGGCACAACCTTCACCTTTTCTGCAGCAATACACAGAGAAGCTCAGTGTCCAGCAGTGCCTGGCAGGGAGACCCGACTCTCACTGCTCAGCCATCTTTAGAAGCACCACCAGGTCGTGGTAAACCTACCTTCCAATTTAAAGTAATTTTGTGCAGGAAAATATCAAAAACATATATATCTATACATCAGTACAATATTACAAAAACCTAAAAAGGGATTATTACACTGCTGTGTGACTGTGTTCAGTGGAGAGGGGCAGTCACTAGTGCTGCTGGAACTGCTGCAAACAGGCCTTTAAGCATTAAGGTGAAAGCAGATTAAACACAGAGCCTACCATTACAGAAACAGGGTTCAACCAGAGCAGATGTTTAATTAGTTGGTGATTATTGGAATTACTTAGTTGCACTTAAGCCACTGTTTTACCAAAGACCTGCACTGGACTAGACAGAGGACAATCTCCTCTAGAGCAGTCTCCTGAGTCTCTCTGAATTGTCAGCTCTTTCAGGGAGTTGAAGAAGGGACATCATGGTGCTGCTAAACACCAGGTGGATCAGTTCAACATGTCTCCCATGTGAGGAGCTGTTTAGAACTTGAGGTGACAGGCGCCACGCTGGAGTCCGGAGCCCCTGTGTCAGGTGAGGGTTTGGCTCCCGTGATAAAGCTCAAGGGTGAAGGAGACAGCAGAAATGTGCGGGTAGCAGGGTGCTGCAGTCCAGCTCCCACAGCTTCTGCCTTGTGTTCGTGAGAGGCATTTTTCAAATATTTCCACTTGCTATTCTGAGACACTGAAACTGACAGAACCAGACAGACTAAGATCCCGAGTGAGGGGAGGATAACTCCTTGTGCATTCTGTCTAGCAACATCCCTGTCATTCCAACAGAGCTGCCTGGTAAGGCTGCCGATCTGCGGCTTTTCAACCGGCAGCCACCTCTGCCCTGTGCGAGGACAGAGACAGACACCAGGACAGCCCAAAGTCCACATCCCTTCAGCTTATAAATGTTTCATCCTCAGCAACACTGTGCACACAGCTCTACGAGAAACAGAAACATTGCCTTTGTTGGACAATAACTTCACATAGAGATGGAAGGAAATGGTTGATCAAAGAATGTTTTGTCCAAAGCAAATCAAGATGTTTATTCTGTCCAGCTACCTTCATATCCATGCATGAGAATTCCCATTGTGAACATATATATACACAATATGTTTGTATTTATTTGTACAATAGGTTTGTATTTTAAGCTCACACCTGAAGAAGGCTCCACGGCCGAAACTTTGTGTTTTCTTTCTTCTTTTTTTTCAGCATGGAATAAACCTATTACTTGTTCCTTTGCAGCCTACACATGCTGATGCAGCTACACACCTGAACATATACAGTATATACAATTCTTTCTCTGTTTTTGGTCACATCATGTATTTGCCTTTGTCTGTTTTACTCAGTGCAGAGCCGACAGAAATGCAGTTTCTGCTGCCAGTTCCAGCTGCCATGCTGTGCCCAGGCTGTCCCAGCCCCAGCTCTGAACTCAGAGGTGTGCTGTGGGCTCAGCAGAGCCCATTCACAAGCCACAGACCAGAACCAGCCGACCAGCTGCAGGCTCTCGGGCAGCAGGTTCAGATCCTGGGTGGGGCACTGTTGTTGTTCCAAAGAACTGCACTCAGACAGCTCCAGGAAACACAGCTCTATGACTGGGTGCAAGCGTTACCGAGTTTCAACTAATATAGCCCCAAATAAATTCAAACAGTAATAAGGACTACAACACAGTCCTGTGTGGCAGGACTCCTGCTGTCGCCTGTTTCTCTAGGCTACATGGACAGTGCTCAGTGTATTCTAGCACACTTAAGACAGTCACTGGTGCCAGACTTCTTTCGATTTAAACAAGAGAATGGAAACCATAACAATGACAAAACGTGCTGTCTTAAAGACTTCTCATGTCATCAATTCCATCACGAAATTTTAACCAGGTAACTGGCACTTCTCTTTCGTTCAAATGATGCCGTAAGTAATCAGATCTGTGTCAGTTTCAATAAAGCTATAGTAATATCCATACCGGTGGACAATTCATGTATATTTGGATAAGCTGAATAGTAAACAACAATCCCATGATAATACAAGATCTAGCCGTACATCTGCGTGGAAACCGTGAGCTGCTGCACTCGGCGACTCCGGAAAGGAAGAGACCAGCCTGGCGTAGCGCGCGGCCGGGTCGAACCCTTACCCGGATCCTCGCGATTCCTGGGGTCCAGCGGGGTCCATCTGAAGTAGGACCAGCTCAGCAGGGCCGAGTACTTCTTCCTGCCCACCCGCAGACTCGACTGCACCCAATCCATTTCCTCGGTACCACCCAGCCTGGGTCTGATCGGATCAAAAAGCTGACAACGCGGCGTGGGGAGGCGCGCTGCTCTCCGGTCACTAAGCTGGGATGTTTATTGTCTCCCTCTTCTCCTTGACCAATGCTGTCCAGTCTCAGAGTGGCCGGTACTGCGCTGTACTGACAGGCAGACCACTTGTTATTAACAAGATTTCTGGTCTGAAACTAACCCTGCAATTTGTTTCCGTGGACTGTCCCCTCTACCTGTCCCCCTCTGTCCTGCGTGCCGGCCTCTCACCTGTGTTTTGAATGCCGCTCTCTGATTGGCTCGGCCCTAAGAAGACGCCCCCTCACGAGTTAAATTTCCTGCTGTTTCCTGAGGTGCGCTGCCTTCTGGGTGACGTAATCTGCCCCAGGAGAGCGAAACACTATCCGCCCTGGAGTCAGAAGTAGGTCAGAGACACGAACAGCTTCTGTTTTTCTTGACGATCAGACTGCTGTTCTTCACGGTGGCTGTTTGTACTCTAATATTTTTATATTAAAATAGTTCCGTCTTTCGCCCTTCGTGTGAACGATTTCACTGACTTTTCTGTTTGCTTCGTTTAACGGGGATCTCCTGAACAATCGGAAACAAAATTATCTTTAAATTAGGATCAGGGCTTCCGTCTTCTCTCAACAACATACTAATTTCTATTCAAATCTTCTCCAATCATGTATAGGTTTTAGCGATTCACACCTCGTGTTTCACCTTTCTGCTCTTCACCGTAGAAATAATCTTTACTTGTTCATTTTTGAGGTATGTTTGTTAAACCCAGTGGGTTTAGAATTGTAAACTTGTTAACTCCTCCTGGTTAAGCGAATGATCCAGTGTGGCCATACAGTCGCTCGACCTCCAGAGCAGCGCTGCCCAGCCTTGGTCCTGCTGACCCCAGTGTGTCCTGTCTGTTTATCCCAGTGTGTCCTGTCTGCTGACCCCAGTGTGTCCTGGTCTCAACTCAGCTACTCCTCCAGGGTCTTTATCGAGCAGATGACTTTGTTGATAACATATTTTCGTTTCAGTTTTTTTTCACTCCTACATAAGTTCCATTATAAAAACTCTATAAGATTTTTTATGTGTAAAATAATATGCTCAAACTTTTTAGAACTGTTAGAAGAATTTGAGTTCAATCATTAAAAACTTTAAAATAACCAAGGAAGAGAATTGCATCCTTTGCAACTGAAGAAGCACAACGGTCTATATTTCCTTATGTAATGACTTTATCATGTGACAAAAACTGCTGTAAACCCTACTTATACTTAATATTTAGAAAACCGATTATTTAAGTAAAAGGATACTTTTTCCCATACCGGGAGTCGAACCCGGGCCGCCTGGGTGAAAACCAGGAATCCTAACCGCTAGACCATATGGGAAGGCGTGTGGCTTTTGTACTGATGTGTGATACTCGGAGAAATATGACGTCACTTGGCTCTGCGTTGAATGTTCTACCTTGTGGTCACTGTCAGAATTGACAGCTCGATTCTCTCAAGTCTTATTCCATTTTTAATTTATTTATTTGGCAGACGCGTTTATCCAAGACAAGTTACAATCGCTTTCCCATGAAAATGCAAGGGTGCCTATTCCAGCCGAGTTCTTAACTGGAAATTTGCTCCAGTTTTCCGTGTGAGCCACATTCTTACTTTAATTTTAAAATTTAAGGATTTGATTCTAGAACTACCGTCTCTTTTTACTTGCTGGGTGAATATTGTTTTGCGTCTCACCACAGTTTTAACGGTTTATTATTAAAAGTGCTGTCCACACACCCGTGTCCCTCTCAGACACAGGCAGAGAGTCAAACATTCACATCACATCCCTTTCAACAACAGCTTTTCCCATTTAACGCAAACGCCTGCAGCACCAGCCTCCGAGTCAGCAGCTCCCTACTCTCAGGTGTTCCCAGCAGGTGGACTGTTTACAAGCTGGGTCAGGCTGTTATTGTACTGTATCACCCCACCAGGGAACAGCCCTCAAGGCTACTTTCTGCCCAAAGATTTAACAGACAACAATATTGTAGGAATCAGGTTCAGACAGGTTCAAGCCATTCAAGGGGAAGAAGGATAAAGAATCAATAATGAATTATAAAAAAATATCACAGATGACTTAAAAGGGTTTGGGAAAAGAGATTTCTTGACGCTATAGGTTTTGTGTCATCAGAGGATCTGAGCAAGAAGACAAGTTCATGTCTCTGAATGAGCTGTAATGTAAAAAGACACATCATATCCAGTATTAGCATACATTGTATAAACAACGTATATATATATTTATGTATTTATATTTTTGTGACAGTTTCAAAACCAGTGACTTCATTGAGATACTAATTTGCAGAATTTAGGTTCAGAAAATATCAGCATGTATTGAGGGTCTTAGAAGTATAGAAAATATACAAATTATTATAGTATATCATGGTATAAATTGCATGCTAATATACATAAAATATGATTTAGAGATGGAATTGTTTTTTAAGAAAAGGACGAATGTCATTATTTCAGCAGGGGAAGCACAGCTCCCAGCCTCCATGGCCAGAATTGAACTGGAAAACAAACCAGATAGAGGTGTTCAAGGAGGCAACAGGCTAGAGAACCTGGAACAGCAGCACTTGATGCCCATGCTGTGGCAATTAAAGAACAACATGGGTTCTCATCAGTGTTTCAGTTTCAAACAGCAATAACAGAAGAGCAAGACAATTTATACCACTCGTTTAAAATCAATCTGAGGAATCATTTTAAGTTGAAGGTTCAATTTTGACCTTTTTTTGATCAAGAATCATTTTTATGTTACAATTCTTTATATGTACAATTTTCATGTTGAGACATTTGCTATTTTGAGCTGCAGTTAGATTTATACCTTACTGATCCCACACATAAACACAGATATGACTAAATATAGATTTACAAATCATGCATATCATTTCATGACATGCAAAGAAGGGAAATTGTATGTTTTAATCAGTCTGTGCTGTAACAAAGATTGGTTGATTTTACATCAGTAGAAAACAATAAAAGTCATAGCCTAGGTAGTAGTATTAAAAATTTGATGGACAGTTGTCCAATCTTTTATTTAAACAGATATCAAATAAGAAGAGTTTCTAATTTATAATGATCTTTCTGGGAGGTGGGACTAAATCTAAATACACAGAAAAAACACACTCACAGGGAGAACATACTGTACAAATTCCACACAGAAAGCAAGGGAAATTCTGAATGTGAATTGTAGGTTTAGGTAATAATCATGTTTACATGGACACTGGGAAGAGTGATCTTCATTGTTGATGACTAAAGAAAAGTATGATTACATTCTGCAAGTGTACAGTATTTTATTATTGTGTTTATGACACTTCAAGTGCTTGTATCTTAAAAATTAAAATTAATGTTAAAAATATTTTTAAAATTACAGTACAATGTCTTAAAAAACACATTTAATCAAGTTTGTAATGGTTTGTTATTACAGTTTTTCTCAACTGCTTACACATCATTCTCAGAACTATTCACCAACATCACAAAATCATTGACACTGTCACCAATACACAATACCACAGGTGCAAAAACTAACACACGCAGGGAAAAAAACACATAATGGCTGAAAAACAACATCCTGTACACAGCCCTCAAAACCACACTATCAAGTCTGAATGCCATACACTTGTGTCATATGTGTAACTCTCACAAAGCAACAATAAAACACAGTTTGTCAACAAAGTAAATTCTCTGATCAAAAGGGGAAATGCCTGTAGGAACGCAATAAATGGAACAAAACCATTTGGAAAAAAACTCACTGTAATGAATGCTCAGATGTTTCATTTTTACACAAACTACAGTAAAATACACAACATGTTTTCTGTAAATGAAGAAAAACACAGTTAACTGCCAAACACAACTACTGTATGAAAGCAAAAAAAATGCTGCCTTCAGAAACTGTCCTGTCTGTCTTGTGGATTTGGCCACAGGTTTTCATCTACATCACAGCTGATGTTTTCTCTGGCCAAGCAGCTGGAAAAAATCTTCTAGCATGAAGAATCCATGCTTGGCAAGCAACTGCACGAACATCACAGGTCTCTTCCAGTCCCTTGAGTAGACTGACTTGCTCATAAGACTTACGGTCATAAACCTTCCATCACCATGCAGAAAAAAATCCTCAATTGGATTGAGGAATGGAGAATATGGTGGAAGGAACACCACCTGGATTTCAGGGTGGTTGGTGAACCATTCCCTGACAACCACTGTGGTGGAAGCTTACATTGTCCCAAATGACAAAATACATGTAAGTGTTGTCTGGGGCCCTAAGGTGGAACAATCAGTCATGCAGCTTATCAGGGAATGCCAGCAGATGTGTAGAGTTGTGAGGCCCAAGAGTCGCAGGCCGATGGACAACCCCTTGGTGACTGGGGTGACGTTTCCACCCCTTTGGCCTGGGACCTCCACCATTGCTCTCTGTCCTGTGATGTTTCTTCCCCGTTGTCACGTTGTAGACAGATTGAATCCTACCTCATCAACATAGACAAACTCATTTGAGGCAGCATTTGCTTAAAGTTCCAAGATTCTCTGAATAAAGACATAATCATATAGGTACAGTGATGAGGATATTGTGCATTTCTCTTACAATACTGTATACTGTCACACTACTCCCCTACACCTCTGTGCAAGATAAGTGCACACTACTGTACTACTGTATGGCGATTCATAGCTTAACTGCGCGTATAAGTAGCGCATCTCTTTCACACGATATACTTGCTTCATAGACATCCTGTGTCTTTTCAGCACATGATCAATGGTGGATATGGATATACGGTCTATGTTGTGAAACATTCCATTGTCCTGTAGTATATGGCGTTGGTTTGCTTTGTGTCTTAGGGCATTATTTGCAAACACCATGTTCACCATTTCAGTCTCTTGTTCTGGGTTGGGCAGTCAGTCTTGCCCACCAGCCGCTGGGCTTCTCTGAATTCTGCATACAAACTACACTAAGTAATACTCAATCATGCTGTCCTCTTGCTGCTATGAAAGCCAAATATCCTGCTTTTTACCCACTCACCTGTTCTCAGTCCTAAGGGTTCGGATGATTCCAGCTACAGTGAACCGGCTCAGATTGGGCTTCACTCTCGTCCTGCTTCACGCATACTCATTCCATGGTTGGTCACATGATCAATTAGAATGACTCTTATTCAATTTGAAATGTGTTGTCTTCCTCTTCCTCTATTTCTTCCCCTACCTCTTGCTCTACATGCTCTTTGTTGCTCCATTGTTTTCTGTACTGACCACTTCTGCACTTCTGCCACCTTTTTATATTGGAGAACTGAGTGAAAATATTTGACTGATTGTGTTTGTTCGCTCTCTGTTTGCATTTGGTCACAGTGCATTCGCAACTGGGAAAAACTGGATATACAGCATGTGGTATGAAACATGAATGTGCAGAGAAAGAAAATAAAGTAATTCCAACACAGAGTAGATTTTAAAGCACCATCAAATTTCTGCACGTGGCTGCTCTTGACATGGAGACTCAGCTCTCATAAGGCACATGTATTCTAACAAAACAATTTAGAGTTTATAGCAGAAATTCAGCAGAAAGGTTAGTTCCTAATCCCGCACACTTCCACAGGCCTATAAGTCCCACACTCGAGTCTTCCCATGGTGCCTCTCTCTCGAACCCCAGCTGCCTCCCCACCCACACCCCTGCAGCAGCTCCCCAGATCATTCCTCGCAGCACAGAGTGGTCAGGCCTCCCTGAGCCAGGTGAGCTGCCCCGACACGCTCTGCTCCTCTCCTCTCCCTCACGCCTCTCTCAGCACCTGGCCAGCTGCCGAAATTAAATAATACATGCAAGGCTATCACGAATCAAATTGTGATACAAAATACTTTATTAAATAATAAAGCAGTTAAACAACAGTATGTAATTAAAAAAACAGGTTTAAGATTGAAATACCTGAGTTAGGTAAGTTTTTAAAAAATGTTTTTTTTGCCTTAAATTTAATGCATAAATATAAAATTCTTTGTAGTTCAGCATACTCTCATTTAAATAATTAAAATGTGTACCTGAGAATTATAATTATTTCAAAGACATGAATTAAACAAATATTGATAAATCACTTTTGAACATACAAAGCTTAGAGACTGTGAGATCTGCCAGGCTGTGGCTCACACTGCGATTCGGATTTCAGGGCTGTTGTGAGGCAGCTGGGAGCTGGGATGGAAGGCAGGAGAGGTGCTGCTCTGGGAAAGGGAAGCACTTCTGCAGCCAGGATTGAATCAACACACTGACACTCATGTCCATCCCAAACCCCAGAGCCGTTACTGAGGGTCACCTTCTAGTTTGCCAATGGCCTCTTGCTTCTCACCACTGGAAATCTACCCTCAGGTAACAGGCCTGTGAATTGCAATTGATGGGCGACATTAGATTTAATACAGATCCAGACGAGTTCCAAACAATTTGTAAGGTCAGAATTCCAGATTCTGGGCAGTACTATCAGCCAAAGTTCTCATACTCGTTTTCTTCCTCTGTCTCTCTGTTGGGGAGACTGGCGTTTTCATAATCGGGCTCGCTCTCCTCCTTCTCTTCCACTTCCTCATAATCTGACCTGTTGTCCTCCTCTGCCTCTTCATGATCAAGCTTCTCCAAACAGACCTCTGCGTTCACATAATCATTTTCCGAATCCTCATCTTCAGTGGTCTTGCCTGTGCTCGACACGTATGCATTCATCACAGCTGCAACATGGGAGCAAAGAAAGATCCCAATACTAAATGGAAGGACTAGACCAGCAACCAGATTTGTGAGACACTAGACAGAAGTGGAAACTCACCTGTCCTGCTGGCTCTCTTCTGGACCTGGCTCCTCTTCTTTTTCTTACACACCAGGAAGACCATGAACAGGAACACCAGGAGCAGCACTGCTGCAGTCACCCCAGAGATTACTGGGAGGATCAGGGACTCTGGAACACAGAACAGCACAACGTCTCTCACTATTTCATGTGCACCAGTCCAGTTGCTGAAACTGCAACTAGTAGGAAACTTAAAATGTTGTGTGTCCAATTTTGGGGCCAGAAAATGAATTAGACTTTTAATCGTAGAGCTCAGCCATCTGGGTGGAGCACAGTAATGACTGAGCTATTCATGAGCCCCTTCAAAACTGCTTGCTATCCTGCTATCTTACCTTTGCTTGTCACTGTGAGGGGCAGAAGTTCACTCTCAGGGGAGGCGAATGTGCGACTGGAGACCTGAGTCTCATACAGGCAGCTGTAATTCCCTTGGTGAGAAAACTCCACTGCAGGAAAGGAGTAGGAAGCGGAGTGATTGACAGCTGGTGAAGACATCTGGATCACTGATCCATTGGACCCAATAAACTTGAGCTGGAATATTCCACCTGGGTACTGCGGCACAGTGGAGCAGGTGATGGTGAGGTTTTGTCCCCTGGTCACCTTCCCTGCAGGGGCACTGAGGGAGATGTTTGGCTGCTGCAGAGTCACTGGAAAAGAACAGAGGTTGTATATATATGTAGGTCGTATACAGTATATGACAGTGTATATCATCAACTTTCTGCTACATTGGAGGAAAAAAGGCCACTCAGAGTTAACTCACATTCTGACAGAACCTGGAAATCTTTCAGACACAGAGCACATGCACTGTACATAACCAATAGCATACAAATAAGACTCTGATGTGAGTGCTGATGAGGATAGCTTAACTATCCTTACCTATCACAGACAAATAATAATAATAATAATAATAAACTTTATTTTATATAGCGCCTTTAAAGGTGGCTTCTCAAAGCGCTTTACAGGATGACAATAACAATAAATAAGAAGACTACAACAATAAATAAGAAAATTTCACAAGACAGGACACAATTAAAATTACAACAATACAACAATAACAATAGAGGAGACCGTGGAAGGTGGTATTAAGAAGAGCAGAGGGGTGAAGAATGGAACCAGTTAAGTAAAGGCTTTTCTGAAAAGGAAGGTTTTGAGTCTGGATTTGAAGGAGTTTAGAGAAGGTGACTCTCTGATATCCTTGGGCAAAGAGTTCCAGAGCTTGGGGGCATAGCAGGAGAAGGCCCTGTCGCCCATACAATGTAGACGGGCTTGGGGGACAGTAAGGAGGGCAGAATTTGAAGAGCGGAGGTTGCGAGGTGGGGAGTAGGGCGATAAAAGTTCAGACAAATGTACATGATCGCTGTTTGGAGAGCTGAAATTGCGACTGGACACTTGTGTCCGATACTGACAACTATAGGACCCCTCGTTAATAAAGTCCACTGGGGGAAAGGTGAATGTGGCAGGGTTGGCTCTCTGAGGCTGGCTTGGTGACCCCCCGGAGTGCCACAGGTGAAATGTGCCACCTGCAGGCGGCGTGAGGATGGAGCAGGTGATGTGAACACTGTTCCCCCAGGGAACCTCTCCAGAGTGGGGAGTGAGAGAGATGAGTGGCTTCTGCAGGACAACTAGGACAATAAGTACAATAGGTATATTTATTATTAAGTATTTCAGGTGGGTAGCTGTGTCCGAATGTGTAGTCTGCAAAGGAACAATCGTATTTAATCGTGTAATTGTATTTAGAGAAAATTAAACAAAAAAAAACATTGGAACATACTCACCCACTGTGATGTCTATGGAGTCGCTGCGAGGAGAGCTGAAGTTCTGCCCTCTTCCCTGGACTCTGTACTGACAGCTGTAGCTGCCCTGGTGTGAGGAGTCCAGGTCAGACACCCTCAGCTCCACTGTGGTCTGTGGGGACACAGCTGTCTGGGTCACAGTGGGGTTCCCTGCACTGCTCCTGTACAAGTCAAAGCCAATCCTGGTGTGGAGCCTGGAGGGGGCAGAGCAGCTGAAAGAGACGTCTTCTCCAGGACTGAAGGCAGGGTGAGGGGACAGCAGGGACAGGCTGGGCTTCTGAATAACACCTGTTGAAAGAGAAGAAAAAGACAATCATCCACAATCATGCAAAATTGTTTCATATGCAAAGTGGGAAAAACAACCTGGGAAAATGAGCTCAGTAATGTACAACAACACAGGCTGGACAAAGCTGAAGTATTCAAATTAAAGAAAATGTAATAATATCTAGAATATATCATATCTGGCTCAATTATTTTGAACACAAATCCCAGGTTTCTATGGAGGTTTGCCATCTTCATTCGAAAGAAACAGAAATAAATTGAAAGAAGCCATGGTACTGACTTTGACAATGCCTCACATCTCAGTCAACGTTCCCTCAACCCTTTGTGTAAAGAAGAGCTCCCTAGGAATAGGAATATCGGATTCCTCTGCCCTAAACTGCCAACAGACTAGCCATGAATTTTGTTTATCAAAATTTTACACAATATTCTAAATAAGGAATTTGTCACGCCCAGTACATCTAGAGGGTGCTCTGCTTCTGTCCTGTTCCTAGTTCCCTGTGATTATTCATGTCTTTCTGGTGTGTCTTGTGGTGTAACCTATTTACTTCCTTTTCTGCTCTGCTCCTCGCTCAGCATTGAGGTTTGGATGTCCTGAGACCTAGCACCAGGTCGCTCCTGTCCATGGACAGAGGGCATAGGTTTTTATACGGCATTCCCTGAACAGCTGAGCCTGGGCTAACCCCCATCTCGCCACTACGCATAGAGTCTTTTCACTCTCCTGCCATTCCACAGTTCGTCCCTTCCGACATCCATGACAGAATTACTAGTACAGTACATTACTGTATATAATTTTCACATAACCTCCCTTGATTTAAAATCTACATTACTAACTATATATTTGTGGGAGATCTATACAATATACTGTATAGATCTTGGAACTATTTCCATAATTAAGTGGTTCCTAATCATGATTTTAAATACATTTCCAGAGTTTGTGTCCTCTGGTTTGTGTTTTGCTGTTCATTCTAAAGTCTGCTGGGTAGACTGTTTCAATGCCTTTGAGAATTTTGAATACTTACAGTATATCAGGTCCTTTTTAGTCTGTTCCTTTTTAGTCGGACTGGGTCTTGAAAAAGTTCCTCCCGATTACTATAGCATGTTGCTCTTCTCTGGACTGATTCCAGAGCAGCAATATCTGTTCTATAACATGGTGACCAAATTTGTACCCAGTATTCTAAACGAGGCCTTGCTTGTGTGTTATACTCTTTTAACTTAACATACATTGGTCCATTTTCTAACCACTTTGTCCAATAGAGGGTAGCGGGGGGACAAGACGCCAGCCCATCTCAGCGCACACACAGACACACACACACTTGCACCAGGGCCAATTTTTGTAGAAACCAATAAACCTGCCTGTACACCTTTGGAGTATGGGATAAAAACAATATAAATACGGGAATAATAGGTTTATTCCATGCTGAAAAGAGAAGAAAGAAAACACAACGTTTCAGGCGTGGAGTCTTCTTCAGGAGGTGGTATAGAGCAACCTCTCTAATTCGTACAACTACACCGCTGTGTCGGCTTGTCATCACTCTAGCACTGTCTGCACAAACTCCGACGCATTTTTTCCAATCGATGCCATTCTCTTCGATAAATTCATTCAGAAGCTGAAATATGTGCTCTCCTGTAGTTCCTGTTGGTAGCGGCTTACAGAACAGAAAGTCCTCATGGGACGGGCCCTCAAACTCATATCTAATGTAAACGAGCAAATTGGGCAAATCAACGACATCTACAGACTCATCTAAGTGCAGTGAAAAACATCTGCTTATCTTAACGCGCTCTATCAGCGTACTTTTGACATCATCCAACATATCACTAATTCTCTGAGTGACTGTGTCTTTCGGAGGGGGGCAGAGGGTCGAGCTGTTTAGCAGCTTTTTCTCCACACATAATACGTGTCAGCTCTTTTGCCAACGGTAAACACAAATCTTCACAAATCGTGTGGGGTTTACCTGCTTTAGCAATCCGCAAGCTTGCATTTTCCCCCTTTTCCGTTTCAGGAGTCCGTCTCAGAAGTTAAAAGAAGTTTTTACTTCATGCGCTCGGTGACGCAGAGACGCTCGGTGTATTTTTCTCAAATTTACCTAGAACAGTTCCGAACTATTTTTCGGTGATATATCACGCTTTGCTGTGCTCACAAGATTGCCAGTGTTCCAAAATCACGCACATTCTCCTACCTTCCTATTTGCTTGAGATAACTTTTTTAAATACAATTGACCGCTTACGTTCGTAGCACGCATTCCTATAGAATGGTATAGAATGACATAGTAGGTCTTGTGTCCACTCTTAGTGCGTGCTGTATCGTAGTTTGTACGTAGGCTGCGTATCTGACACATAAACTGATTTTATTAAAATAGAAAACATGAAAACCCGTGCACACAACAACTTTCTAGAGAATTTTTTGCGTTCCCAAGATTGAGAACCACGGGTCTAAAGGTTTCCCATCACTGTCCCAGGTATCCATCCATCTTCTAAGTGCTTTAACCAATACAGGGTCGTGGGGGAGCAGGAGTCTATCCAGGCAAGCAATTGGCGTAAGGCAGGATACACCCTGGACTGGGCAGCAATCATAGAGTAACATTCTAGTATCCTTTTTTAAAAATTGCTGTCCTCCTTCTCTTTAACAGTTTCCCGTTTTTAATAATTTAAAATGTTCTTTTCATAATAGTTTCCAAATGACTTTGACAAGCAGTTTTGGGACACTTTTTTTTTAGGTTATGATTTTTCACTTTTGGAATAAATAGTTATTTGAATACATTTGTACAAATTCCATATCTATTCTTTCCCATTATACCTTATTCCTCCAACACTTCCTTTTCTGAAATGGGAAATTTTGTAGTTTTAAAGCGTGCCATATTCTAATCATACACATTTTCCCTATGAGTTTATTCACTCTGTCTTGATTTAAAAAAAAAAACAAGATCAATTCAAACTTTTCTTCATTTAGGTTCTCCAACCAACTGAGTAAGAAACCTGTCATCAACCATTTCAGTTTCTGCTGCTGGTACTGCCGTGTGTTTTTCCCAGTCCGTTAGAGGAAAGTTGAAGTCCCCATAAAAACTACACTTTTTGCATATCAATTTTTACTTTCATTTTTTAGTGTTAAATAAGAATCAACATCAATATTTGGTGGCAGTGTTCTCCAAAAACTATACTTTAGTTTCAACCAGATTCAGACACTCAGAGATTCAGAAACCACTGATTTATTTCCAAAGTGTCTGAATTTGTTACAGGTGGAAAGTGTAAATTTGTACTGATGCCGATTGTGCCAAAATAGATAACAACAACTGAGTTGTCTCCTGCCTTACCTAGTTAATTTTATGCACAATATCAGCAACAGTAAGGAAAAATGGGACATCCTTACCTGAGCAGACAACACCAGCATCTTCACCATGACCACAGTTATGAGTTCCAAATTCCGGGTGTGTGCACTGTGTCAGAGAGGACTCACTGCCTGAGCACGACACATCGTCCAGCCAGATCTTTCCACTCCCCTGGCCGAAGTGTGCGCTCCCAGGAGCAGACACAGCAGTTCCACAGTCCAGCGCTCTGCACACCACCTGAGCGTCATTCGTGTCCCAGCTGTCATCACACACTGTCCCCCACTGGCCGCTGTGATAGACCTCCACTCTCCCCGAGCAGCAGCCGGAGCCGTTGACCAGCCTGACCTGGGCTCCTTCAAATTCCAAAGAAACACACTAAATTAAAACTCTCAAGAGGACAACTTGGAAATGAACCTTGTCAATGTAAAATATGGCAGAAATGTAGAAAATGTTTCTGAAGCAGATGTCAGTTTCTCAGTATTGAAGTTGTGAATGTCAAGTGTAGCAACATGCATCTGACTTCAGTGTCATGTCTATTTTACTCAAGAAAATACTCTACCAACCTTTAATTCATTAGTTTATGGTGTTATCTACGGAAGCTTATTAGCGCCAGGAAGAAAAAATAAATCAAATTTAGATTTTATTTTATTGCGTTTACATGAGAAAATTATCTTGTTTATACAAGACAATTATTGCGTTTAAGAGCAATAGTTAATTTGTGAACAATGTTGCCTACTATATTAATGTATTACATGATATATGCATTAATATTGTCCTTTGCAAAGTAGCATTGACTTTAACAACAGTAGAATATTGTCACACTCCTATTTTTGGAAAAAAAATCATCTACAGGAGCAGAATCTATGTTCTGTCTTTTGTATACATGACTAGAGCAGAGTGTCAGTGAGCATTCCTGGGTTAAACATTTTTGTCGCCACTAGAAATGACACAGCTTTCCAAGCGTATGTTCTTCCTGATGTAAAACTGCAGAAACATGTTCTGTACATGGATTTGCCAACTCTTTAACATTGCACAGAATACATTCACGTTGACTTGACAGTCAGACTTAACACCTACTGTTGGCTTCTGGTACTGTTATTGTTGGTCACACGTTTAGACTTTAAGCACAAAAACCTTAAAAGCTTTTAGCCTACAGTATGCTGACATCAAATACATTTGAACTTGGAATTACACAGCAAAATGCAGGAAAAGTGTATTTTGAAGGGAGAAGAAACAGTATTTGTGTTTCCAGTTGCACAGACATTAATGTAAAGAGACAGGGTAATGCCAAACAAACAGAAGAGGAATTCCAGGACAGCACACAACCTGTTACACAGTTTGTACACTGTTGGCCGTTTACTGTTACCAGCAATAACACTTGGAATACAGTAAGTGTTTCACACCTCTCCTCACCTATCCTGACTTCACACTACCTGATTGTCCACTCTGTCTGTCCCCTGCACTCGCCTCTCGCTCCTCCTCTCTCCCAGCTCTTGTTCTCCTGCTACATTACCTTTGCTTACTGCCCTATCTTTCTCACACATTGAAGAAGGCTCCACGGCCGAAACATTGTGTTTTCTATATTCTCTTTTTAGCATGGAATAATCCAATCCTATTACTTGTACACTTGGTATAAGTCTTACTATCAAGTCATTGTGAATGTATTCCGTTCAAAGTTTAAAGAGTAGGGAAAAACCTATGTACAGCACATGTTTCTGCAGCTTCACATCAAGAAGAACATATGTTTGGAAACCTGTGTCATTTCTACCTGTTACATAAATGGCAAAAACAATATGCATTTAACCTGGAATGCTTACTGACATTCGTGTTGTTCTTCACGAATACAAAAGACAGAACACGTGCTCCATTCTATTTTTTTTTCAAAAATAGGAGTGTGATGATATTCGACTGTTGTTAAAGTCAATGCTACTTTGCACAGGACAATATTATTGCATATATAATACAACTTTAATATAGTAGGCAATATTTTTCAAAAATAAACTATTGCATCTAAACACAATAATTTACTTGAATAAACAAGAAAATATTCTCAAATAAACACAATACTATCTCGTATAAACGAGGTTTATTTCTGTGGCGCTAATAAACTTCCGTAGTTATCCACAGACTGAATTAACTTATTTGCATACTTGATGTTAAAGATGGGTATATGCACATTGTAAAGGTAAAACCTTGCAAATAGAGTTGAGTTCAATGTTTAAATATCCCTTCATCTGTTATCAGAAAGCAGCTTGTTCGTCAGGAGGCCAGAGGGAACCCAGGGAACAAGCTGGGAGCAGATCCTGAGATGCCAGTCCATTGCGGGACAGTTGGCAAAAACTGTACATCAGTGAAAATAGAACATATTTAAATATAGATCAATTATATCCTCTGTTATCTATTATGTTGCTTTTGAATACACAGGATTTATCACATCACATGGGCTAATGAATTAATGAGACCAGAATGATTACAGAGGTTAAGAGCTCAAAATAAGACCCTCAAGTACTGATAATTAGTCACATAGCCTATTGCATTCATGTTCTCTGAAAATGCAATTAAATTAATTTGGCATTAAGTATTTTACTGAGCCTGAAGAAGAAGTTCATATCAGTGGTGAGGCTGACAGAGGGCACCACAGGCGCTTCTGAAGGCACTCAGAAATGCCGCCACCTTAACCCTCCTGCTGTGTTGCTTTGTCAAAAAATCTCCAAGTGTCAAGAATGTTTTCTCTGAAAGATGTAAGATGAAAGAGACTCTCCTACCTGAGCAGACAACACCAGCATCTTCACCATGACCACAGTTATGAGTTCCAAATTCCGGGTGTGTGCACTGTGTCAGAGAGGACTCACTGCCTGAGCACGACACATCGTCCAGCCAGATCTTTCCACTCCCCTGGCCGAAGTGTGCGCTCCCAGGAGCAGACACAGCAGTTCCACAGTCCAGCGCTCTGCACACCACCTGAGCGTCATTCGTGTCCCAGCTGTCATCACACACTGTCCCCCACTGGCCGCTGTGATAGACCTCCACTCTCCCCGAGCAGCAGCCGGAGCCGTTGACCAGCCTGACCTGGGCTGCACCTTACGGGCAAGAATTACAAAAAAACATTCTGACAGGACACAGCGCAAAAGTCTGTATGCAAAATGAATAAAAAACAATCTGTAATTCAATGGGAAGAAACTAACTGTAGTGACAGAACACATGCAACCGAAAATAATGGAAAAGATAAAAAAATCCGGTGCTGCGTAGTGTTGTACAGGCCCATCAGTGAAACATGAAAGGAAATGTAAAAATACAGAAATTACAATTTTATTGTGTATTCTGTACAATTGAATTAAAACATTAAATTGCGCTGTGTGAGAGGGAAAAGTGTCTGTTGTTGTTTGTTGCTGAGGGTGGTCAAGGGAGCTGTGAACAAGAAGGTTATGCAGACTATGTGGAACACGATATGAGATGATGGGGCAGTCAGAAAAGAGGGTACCATCGGATGGATCATCCTGTAAGATGGGGAAGTTTTCGTTAATGGTCCTGGGGATAGAAAGGGTATTAAGGTGGTAGGGAAGCACCAGTGGAATGCGGTTTTGAGGCCGGGACTTCCTAATTGGGCTGATGATCAGAGGCTGTTTTTAGCTAGGGCAAGGGCCCTGTCAATAACTTGGGTGGGGTATCCTCTGTTGAAGAAAACAAAGTGCATATTGAGGGCATAGATATGGAAGCCCAAGTTGCCACTGCAAAGTTGTCAGAGCCCGAGGAACTGTGAAAAAGGGAAATAATTTTTAGTATGTGTTGGGTGGAATATCTGTATAGGAGATAGCTGTGTGAATCTATGGATTTGTAATAGAGAGGCAGAGAGTCACGGATGGTTAATGGATTGGTTTATGTCTAGAAACAGAAGAGTAGTGGAAAATATGTTAACTGAATACTTGAGGAATGGGTGGAAGTTGGTGAAATGATGCAGGAAATTCTCTAGCTGGTTGTTAGAGCATGTGGCATGTGGTCTGAAGCGACACATATGAGAACAGAAGTAGTCGAAATCTGTGTCATTAACTTCTGCTATAAACTCCATTAGTTGCACAAAATTATCTTAACAAGCTATTTTTTATGAGTGGCCTTTGCTAGTGTAGAATAGAATAGAATGTTTATGCAGTCCTTATATTTCATTTTTTTCTCTTTAGTTTTTGCCAATATTAACTGTAACTATAGCTCTGGGCACTATAGGCAATACAGGAAGGATATTTTTCCAAGTCACTGTGACCTACATGTCTTTGGACTCTTTGGACTCTGCAGTTTCATTTGTTCCCAGAAGGAGGCACTAAACACTGGGAGACCCTGGTAGAATCTGCTTTGTGTGTTATTGCTGCGGAATGAGTGTCCAGCTCACATTGAACTTTGCAAGTCAGTCAGTACTCGTATATCTTATTTCAAAACTTACTTTTATAAAGGTTATACAGCCCCTCTCCCTGTGTGGGGTGGTAGGTTGCAGTTTGTTTTTATCAATAGAACAAATAATAACATTTACAAAAGGGATAAAATGAACTCATAATGTGTAACACAGGTTTTGGGTAAGTGGTGTCCACTCCTTGCTGAATGAATCAGTTCACAGTGCTTAGTTTGCACACAAAGAAAACTGTTCAAAGATCTAGAATTATCTTAGTAGACATTTTTAAACTAGAAACATGACTTATAAAATTACACAGACAAGATAAAATGTGAAGGTACCTACTTATAAAGCTTTTGTTGAGAATTAGGAGGTATTGACCTGCAGGAAAGAAACAGAAGAGGCAAATCAGCAAAGTCTGCAGGTCTAGGAACTGGACAACAGGTATAACTGGTCTTGTTTCTTCATACTTTCTAACCTTGTGAAAGTCCCGGAAACCTGAACTGATCACGACTGGCACATGGCACCCATGGCAACATGGTGAAGTCTGTAAATGTTAAAAGCTGTAGTGGCTCTGAAATGGGAATAGCTATAAATTATAGTTATTCAAGTGAAGAAGAAGTGTGATTGTAATAGTACTAATAATACAATGTAATAAAACAAGTAGTTCCACAACTGTGGTAGCTGAATTCACCTCAGATTAAAGTCATGATTTTAGCCTGGTGGACACTGACTTGATATTTCCAGGTGCAAAATTGTTACGCCCTCACATGACTAGTGACGCCCATCCTCGCCAAGATCTCCCATTTCAAGAGGTCATACTGGGATACGTCAGACGCTTTGAGATCAAAGTATGTTTTCTGAGCCTCTCCAGTAAGAAATGGGGCCACAATGTTTGCCCATTGGTCTTTTTCCCAGTCCTGTCTTGCCTTTTGAACACAATTGTCATGGATTTGGTAGGTCTGGACAGGACCGCCAGAGAAGATGGGCATACTTCAGTCATGGTCGATTATACTACTCGCTATCCGGAGGTGTTTCCCTTAAAAATACTGCCAGCAAAACCATTTCCAAGGAATGAGTATGACTCTTTTCCCATTTATGTACCACTTGTGTCTAAATTAATGCAGGACATTGCTTCATTTCTGCATTTCAATCTTTTACAAACCTCGTTATTTCACCAGCAGACCACTGGTTAATTAGTCAGGAGAGGATAGACTGGGACCCTGTCCTACCATTTCTAATGTTTGCAATCAGAAAAGTGCCCCAGGCTTCCACAAGCTTAACTCTTTTTGAATTACTTTTTGGGAGAAATCCTTGGCATCAAGCAGGGAGTCTGGGAGACTCCGGATAAACAAAAAAATACCCTGGAATATGTGCCACATATGCTGGATCATATCAATAAGATTTAACCTACAGTACACAAACATCCTAAAAAAAGCACAGTATACTCAAAAGACTTCTTATGATCCAAGAGCTAGGGAGAGAGAATTCAACAGAGGGGATAAAGTGTTAGTTTTGCTTCCTTCTAGTGAGAGCAACCTATAACACAAATGGTAGGGGTCACATGAGATGGTGAACGAGTGGGATCAATAAATTATAAAATATAAACAACAAACAGGAAAAAATCAAATCTACCATGTTAACCTCCTAAAAGTATGGAAGACAGATTTTGTCCTTGGCAATACCAAGACATAAAGTGTTTTCCTTAAAAGAAATGCAAATAGGTTTAGTTTCCTACTCGGCAGAACTCGGCGTACAATAGTAACTGGTGCCATATAGAGTGGCAAGAAAACTGAAATAATTCAGGAAGTACAGAAAATGAAAGATTTGGCAGTTATAGAAGAGAGTTCCAGTCCTTGGTCTAGCCCCATAGTTCTAATATCTAAACTGGGTGCAAGGTGGCGATTTGTAATAATTTCAGGAAACTAAATGAAATCTTAAAAATCGACAAGTATTCAAAGCTCTGAGTTGACAAACTGCTCGAAAAAAGTCTGGGAAAAGTAAAACCCAGATCTGAGAAAAGGTTACTGGAAAATACCAGTCTAAAGAAACATCTTTAGATGTCAGGCAGAGACGTCTTAAGAGAAAACCACCTTTATTCATCCCACAGAACTGTACCACTGTACAGTTTCACCGTTTGGCTTGCATGGTGCTGCGGGGAAATTCCAGAGCCCTCTGCTTACCTGGACGAGGTGCTCATCGCCAGTGATGACTGGGACTTGTATTTAAAACATTGACAGACTCAGACTGTCATGGACAGTTTTGGGGACGCTGAGTTAAAAATAAATCCCACGAAAAGTCGCATGGGTTTTGTGCATATCAGATATTGGGGGTACAAAGTAGGAGGGGGTTCGCCCCCTTATGGCTAATGCAGCAGCAATTAAGAACTGTCCTTAGCCTTGAAATAAAAATCAGGTACAAACATTTTTGGATTAGGTGAGGTACTATCTAGATTTGCAGAGAGGGTTCATTCTCCACACTGAACACTTCTCGCATAATGCCACACTTCGCATCAGTAAGACAAAGAACTGGTCTTAAATGGGATATTTTGCAAAGAGGGATGTGGTGCAGACTTTGCAGACATGTACTGTCATTTGAAAGAAAGGAAAGAGTAAAAAATCACTCCGAGGTCTAACAGAATTTGAGGGTAAAATTTCTGTATTACCAAATGTGACTTTTAGAATCTGAGACTTGATGGAGAGGGCCAATTAAAATCATCCTGGTCTTAATCTTGTTTAACTGGAGATAATTCTACACCATCCGCAAATGTACAATTTATTGTATCCTTGTTCACATCAGTGTTCCAGGTCTCTCGCAATTCTTTAGGGCTTCTTCCAGCCCAGGTCTTACAGATGGGCTGTTGTTTTGTTCAGCCAGGTGTGCTACCCAATAAACTGGATCGCACTTCTTCTCTTAATTAGAACTACTGAATCATTCATAGTGACTATAGCTCAATTGTGTCTTTTACTCAATGTAATAATGAAAGCAGGGATCCGCAGAGCGGGCTGGCTCCAGTGGCTCAAGCCCTCATTGGCCCAAGTGCCCATTTCTGCTTGTAGAAATAAAATCCAACCAATTTCTTTTTTTTGCTTCTGTATTTAGTACGGATCTCCCGTTAGGAAACAAAATGTTGGACCTAGTTGATCTCATCAGAGCACAAGTGCCCACCTCCTGTTCATTGTAAAAAGCAGAGAAAAAAGCAGTGATAACAAACGTACAGTAGGCTGCTCCACATGTGGAGGTTGTGTTAACATTTTTGAACGGTGAGAAGAAACACAGATTTTTCAGAACGACTGTCCAAAAGTAACACAACAAGGGTGTCGTATTGAGCTCTTTGTGTTTAAGAAAGACTGTTTTCATTCACCTGTTCTAAGTTTGCAAACCGACGAACTCGCCACGTTATTGTCTGCATGGCTACTTAGCTAGATTTGAGATTTCCTTAAGAAATTTTGTTAACTGAGTAGACAAGCCAGTCTTTTTGTATTTGATATAAACAGCTGACATACATATTCTTTTGTTGTGTATACATGGTTAAGTCACAGAAACAGGAGAGCAGAAGAAGAACAAGAAAAAGAGAAAGAATTTAGGGAGGCAGCTGAAGGGAGCACACCGCTTCACAACTGGGTCACAACTAGCAGCAGATGAACAGGAAAATGGTCATCAAAAAAGCCAGTTCCTTCGGCTACATTCTGTGTAAGCCTCAATAACAGAAGAGTCTTGCTTCATGATTGAATGATTACATTGGCAAATGTTGTACGACTTAAATTTTGACGAATATAAAAACTGCCTGTAGCCTATTCACGAAAAATATACAGGCTATATGAGTAGTAAGTAATAGGTTTATTCCATGCTGAAAAGAGAAGAAAGAAAACACAACGTTTCAGCTGTGTAAGCTTCATCGGGTGTGAGGATAGGGTTAAATAAAAAAAACACTGGTAGTTCTGAATTGACAAATAAAGAACTATATGGTAATTAGTAGTCCACATGTGGTGATTTAATTGTACACACAACTAACTTTTACAACTTCTGTTGTTAAAACAATAATGTGATTAAGAAAGTTCACCAAATCAATGTGAAAATGATTCTAAACAAAAATTATGTTGTCTGGCCAAATGTCTGTTAGTACTCAAAGGTCCTCTTGAAACGCTGGGCAGACGTCACTGCATCTTTATGGAAGATGCTGCTGTAGATATTGCTCTCTGGACGAGACATTAAAAGACCTCTGACTCCTTGGTCATTAAAGGCACTTTTCAAAAGAGGAGGGGAGTTAACTTCAGTGTCCCAGCTAAAGTAATCTCCAGACTTCCTAAAGATTCGTCTTAATTCAACTAGTGAATCAATTTCTCTCTCTCTGCTTCTCTCTGCTGCTTGTTCAGGATTGCTGCTGTGTGTCCCAGGCAGAGCTACACTACAGAGGAGGACGAAGTGGATCTCCTTCCTTGTGAAAACACTTTGGGATGAAAAGTGCTATATAAATGTAAGGAATTAATGAAAACATAATCTCCCTGTTTCCTTAATCATGCATTTCCTCATCAGACACTCTGCTGTGCAACGTGGTGTTCTCGCAGCTCAGATCACTAACTGACAAAATGGGTTTCACAAATTAGATTATACTTTGTTAACCTTCTGTACAAATATGTGAAATTGCAACTCACAAGTACAGTAGCACCTCTGAATGTTCCTCTTTCTTGTTACATCCAGAATAAGATAAAGGAAGTATATTTCCTCATTTAAAGTTTTTTTACAGCTTTAAAGTTCTTCGTGAAAAATATTTCTGTGGATAGATTTTAGTGCTCCGTGGAAGAAAATTAGGACAATATACTGTCATGAACACGGACTGAAATCCATGTCAGATCTTGTAGTATACCCTATGCGATGCGGTAAGAGCTGGAGAAAACAGGAGGGGTTTAATAGTGCACAAAATAATAGTGACAGTCCGTGAGACAGTGTACGGGGAAGACAAAACGGCATCCAAATCCAAACGGGTCCAAGGATTTGGACCCGCTGGTCAAAGCACAGTCCGAGAGTCCATCAACTAGAAATCCATCCTGGGACGCAACAAAAATAAAATCCCCGGGAGGGGGGAGCACACGGACAAACGAAACATGGAGGTCCAAGGGTGACGGGGCGAGATCCTCCAGACCCCGGGCTCAGGAAGCGGGAGGTGTCGGGGATGAGGCCTGTGCCCTCAGGAGACGGACGGAGGGTTTCCTTGTGCTAGGCGGGCCTCGCGACATCTTACCCTAATGATGAGCCCCGAGGACTGGAGGAGCTGGTCTTTAAATAATAACACTAAAAGGGTACACCTGGAGAGCTTAATCACACGAACAATAATGGGAGCAGTGGAGCGTCCTCTAGGGAGGGATGTCGGGCGTGACATATACATCTTTGATTCATCCACGGTGCGATAGAGAGCGCTACAGGAGGTCATTCTTGCCTTCTGCCATAAGACTGTACAGTGCATCCACCTTGCGTCTGGGCAGAGGCAACATTGACAGTGACCTGTTTCTGGACTGAACACATCTACACATCTACTGCTACATCTGTTCTCTTTCTTTTTCTTTTCCCGTTTACAACCGTTTTTTGTGCAATATATGCCAGGGACCTGTGCAATACATTTACATCTATATTTATATCTATATCTATATTTACATCTATATTTATATTCATATGTGTGATACGATTTTCTGTGTACTGTTCTGTTCTAGTCTGTTCTTTGTGTGTCCGGACTGTGAGTAACTCTTGTATTGTATTGTATGTATTGTACTATTATTATGTAATTCGTTACACTGTGGCTGTGTTGTGTGTGTTAAGCTGCTGTTGCACTGCAATTTCCCTCACGGGATCAATAAAGTATCTATCTATCTTTACTGTTAATGATTAGGATGATATAAGAATATATATATATAATCACCCTGAAATACTGGAACAGGAAAGGTTTTTAAATTTCCGAAAGTCTGTGTTGAAAATAAGCACATTTCGCAATCCTGGGTGTTGTGGCTAAGATGCATGTCTTTTAAAAGACTGAAGATTTCCCTAGCCTTAGCAGAAGTAATGAAAATTAATCAGCACTTTAAAAAGTTTATTATTTTTTTTAAATAGAAAGATTTCATTTAAGGAGCTACAATTAAAACAAACATTATTCACGAGGAAGAACATTACCCTGTGTTCAGGAGTGCTTACTGATGAGTTGGGTGTAAGAAAGTGTCTGTCTGAGGGCCAGACCCCTGACTGCAGCTGAGGAGGGGGCTGGACCTCCTGCAGAGAGAGGAGTGACCCAGGGGCAGCTGCACAGGTGAGGGGCGGATCAGATTAAGAGAGAGAGGCTCACTGCAGTGTTTATAGGTTCATGGAGAATTAGAGGTTAGAAGAGCTGGGATAAGCAACACCTTGATTTCCTGATTACTCCTCCTTCCTGAACCTTTGTTAAAAACCCTGTGAAGTATAGTCCCAACTGTCTTGACTCTGGAGACTATCGCCTGATTGTTGTCCTACCTGAGGAGACCTGACTGGCAGAAAAGATTTTCCTGCTCTCAAATCTCTGCAGAAGAACATCCTGGGGGTCATACTGTGCCTAAGCCTTTCCTCCAAGTCCACACTTCTGTGACACAGTGCAATTGTGGACTTCAGGTGCACAGGAATTTGAGGAGCACTGTTACCAACGGGGTAATATGACATCCTCTCATGATGTAACTCGCTGGTCACACGACTCAGTCGAAACGCGTTCTGTTGGTGCAGTTTTTGCATAGCTTCTTTTCCAGTGGCCAAGCGAACACTGGGAGAGAATTTTTTTCAAAAAAATGTCATTCTTCGCTCACAGTTTGATTAAATTGAATGTCTTAGCACAAAAGTAGTGAGGTTAAGTGTTCATTCATGTGCAGAAGTATCAACTCAAAATGTGCAAGTAAACTAAGAAAAACTTGTTAATACCATACTCTGTTTATTCAAAGTTTTGTACTATTAAATACATTTCATCTGGATTGTCCCAGTACGAGGAACATAAAGTGTTCATTCACGTTAAACAGGATTGATTCAAAACGGGAAAAGTAAAATAAATAAGATAAAAAAGGCAATACCTCAAAGCTTTGTAGTATTAAATAATTTGTCTTTCCTTGTACAAAATACACTGGAAGTAAATGAATATTCATCCGTTGAAATAGGATGACGAAATAAAAGATTAATGTCAACACTTCTTACCTAGCATATATACAATATCAAGCTAAAGTAGTCTAATGAAATTTTATTTGTACATAAAATAATGAGTTTTAAAATTGTAAAATAATTCAATTTTACTAACATGAATATTTTATTCTTAATGGCAACTTCTCTCAGCTTTGATAGGTTAGAACACGACACGTCACCATTCTGCAAAGGATCGTGGGTGATCCGTTTTAGCGAAGTCCACTCTGATGTGGACTTCAGAGAAGGGCTCATGCGCCCCCTGGGAAACACCGATTCAGACATGGGACACCCTGAGCCCATGCAGACCCGAGCAGGAACACACATACGAAGGGCACGAGATCACAAGTTTGCCTACTGGGACACAGCCCTAAACTGACAGGTACGTGAAAAGAAATATAAATGAAAGGACGCAAGTGGAAATTACAAGGAAGAGCATATACAGTAGAAATAAAAACAGGAGACATTTATTTACACAAAGGGGCGTAGGAGTTTGGGCCACGCTGCCTAGCCATGTTGTTGAAGCCAATATCTTGGCTTCTTTCAAAAAAAGATCCTGGGATCAATCAGCTACATATTAGGTGGTTTGAATGTCCTCCTCTTGTTTGTAACCTTTCTTAAGTCCATTCAGTCCCCATCAGCAGCTGTGCCTGGCCAACAGGCCTGTTACTGATGTTAAACTCTTACATGGTACACTGGTGACAATAACTCCCACACCCACAGAGCATCTTGATAAGTCAACTGTGCTTCCTGCCCTGCTGATGTGCCAAACCACACTGTTGATTTTTCAGCCTTCTGCCTTGGACATAAATACATTTCACATACAACTTTTCATGTAGAAAATGTATGGCCTTGCAAATGTAAAAATATTTGTTTTCATCAAGAAAACAATGATACTTTAGAAGACAGAGAAGGGGCAGATTTGAACAGAAGTGCCTCAAGCTCAGGGTTTAATTGGCAGAGGTGAGGAAATGGAATGGGCTTTCTTGCAGAGCTCAGAGCTGTGAGCATTAAAAGAAGTACAAATATAACAAGAATGGGCGTGACAATGAGATAAGAGACCGCAAGCTGTAAAGGACAAGAACACTGGGTACAAGATATTAAAGCCCAATTGTTTTTGAAAAGTATGAAATTATTTTTTGCATGTATACATTTATTTTATTTATTAATTTGGACCTTTGCAGCCTATGCATTCTGACCTAGCAACTTACTTTTTAATAAAATTTTTGATAAACACTTTGATTGATTCAGATATTCAGAAAAATCTGTTGTTTGACTTTTATTTCTATATGGCTGTAACATTTTGCTTAGTTTGACCTGTCTGTGGTTTTCACAGTTCTTCAGCTCCAATTCAGCCTGTGAATGGGAATTAAGTTAATTATGAAATTTTATAGGTCTCTTGAAACATCTGTTTGAGAAATGGAAACCAGTTAAAGAGGAACAGTTAATCAAAAGATTAATAATAGTGTATATTTTTGTTTAATCAGATAAGTCAGTTAAAAAACAAATTTCATTACTATTCCAATCCAACTAATTAAGAGCAATCAGGGACATTCGTACTGCCACAGTAGGGTTGAAAATGCTGTTTTAGGGAATGGGACACAAAGAGCACTGTACATGTATAATTACTGTATAAAATATATTTATTGTAATTCCAGCTGGATTTCCTAATCTGCCTTTCAAAAGTGTCTTTTAACAGACTGAACTTTCCGTGACTCCAGTTCAGGGGGGAGCTGGGTCCTATCCTGGCATGCAACTGGTGCTGGGCAGAGCACACCCTAGACAGGACGCAAGTCCACCGCTGTGCACACATACAGTAGACATTTGCACACTCACACTGGGCCAATTTTCAAAGAAACCCATTAACCTACAGAAATGTCTTTGGACTGTGGGAGGAATCAGGAGCACCCGAAGGAAACCCACACAAACACAGGAAGAACATGCAAACTCCACACGGACAGCACCCCAAGTCCAAAACTGAACTCAGGGTCCCAGCACTGCGAGGCAGCCATGCTGACCATTGTCCCACCCCCCTGTGAAATGTATCAATACCATTATCGGAGTTGCAGAAATCTCTAATTGAGCCCGTCTGTCCACATTTTCTTATAATAATCTGAGCACACAAACATTTTATTATCAATAAAGACAGAACTTACAGAGCAGCAGAGTGAGGAGAGTCCTTGGCATCTTCTTTCAGTCGGGTTCTCCTACAGAACAGAACTCCTGCTGACACATTCAGACAATACAGCCAAGATGAAGACTTAAGATAGCGCGGTTTCCTTCTCTAACCACCATAGTGCAGGCTATTTGTAGCTGTGTGAAAAAAAAAAAAAGATTTCCCCTTCACATATTTTTGAAACATCTGTATGTTCCTGTTTTAAGCAAAAACTTTTTGCTTCAGCTAAATCCAACAGCTGAAAGTAGAATTAACCCGATTTTAAAATCTACAGCATTCATTGAAGAGCCAAAAACACTCAATTTTATTTTAATCTCTGCTGTTAGTTTGCATCTCATCTCCTCTGAGAAGCCACTTTTAGCACGTGTCAAATCAAACATCTGTCAAAACATTTCCGAACAGACACACAGGAGGTGTGTGAGTGTTTTCCTCTAGATCTTGCTTTTGAGCACACAGGATGTGGGCTTTCATCTCCCTCAAGCTCATTTTTTTTATTGTATCATAAGATATGGTTTAATTAGCGGAGACACATTTTAGAATGAAAGTAAAACACTTCACACTCACAGAGTGTCAGAGGCTTAGTGGTTGTTTTGTTTGTTTCACTTTTACAAAACCTCATTAGTCAGAAGAGGATAAATATTTCACTTTCAAGTCTGGTGCTGAAGCTGCTACCAGCACCTGCAGCTCTGACCCTGAATCACAGCAGGTGGATTCTGACGCTGAGCTTCCTCGTTCAACACAAAATTCAATCAGAAGAGCTGCTTTGCCTCCTTCCCTGCTCAAATCCAAGCGCGAAGAAGAATTCAATTTGCTACTTAATCCTTGTGCTTTTACTGTACAACACCTGTGCTTAAATTCTAAGGTCTGATCTGGCTTTCTGAAATAAATCCAGTCTTAAAGATGTCAAAAGGGCTTTGCAATGGCTAACTCGAATTTTAATGAGCCAGAATGAAAACTGAAACAAAGTTCTTGGTGCAGTGCTGTTAGCTAGTAGTACAGAGACTTTATCTCCGTCACTATTAACACTATACAAACAGTAGCTGCAGGGTGTTCGCACTGCTATCCTGTAACTCCAGTGTGTATTTACTGATCCTTACGACTTCAGTGTACTACTACAATAACAAAATAAGACATTTCTGTTTATTTTTTAAATGTAAGCAATTAAAAAATTATAATAAAAGGTTTTCTGTTTCTATTAGTTATAGACAGCTCAGTCCGTCTCATTGAACACAAGGAGAAACGAGAACTAGAAAGCTACTTTAAAACATCAAGAGTTTAGGACCGTGGATGAAGGTTAAACTTATCAAATTAATTAAAAAATCACTGTAGATAGTTTAGAGTTCAGGAGGAAAGAAAACCAGAAAAACCGTAATCCTCCAGGAAAAGGCTGGACGGGACTCGTCTTGATGGGTCTGTAGTTCGACAGTGTGTCACCGTTCTCCACACAGCCTGCAGGGCCGTATGATCATACAGCCATGGATTCGAGCAATTAAAGACACAACAGAAGCAGATTCTCTAACCTGCAGCCAGAAGACCTCATTACAGGCTGGGCAAGCGTTCGAGGTGAAATTCGCCCACGAGGAGGGCACCTTTAAAGCGGAGACGACGGCAACGAAACTTTTTGGCGCGCCCTCTCTTCAAAGCCCTGGCCAAATATTCAGACATGAACTAAAAACTAAACATCCCAGTTAACATGTGATCCTTGCGTTTGACCAACGGAACAGGGCGAAAAGTCAGTCACATGATTTTGGGTTTGAGTTTTGAATGCTTAACCTATCGGCAACAAAGCGAAATTTAAACTATAGGCTTCCTCAAACTGTCAGTTACACGACCGTGTATGTCTTTAAAGCCTTTTCTATTTGGCTTTTTAGTTATGGAGGCGGGAAGACGACCTTTCCCTCTGTCGTCTGGCGCCTGACGTTCGAATCGCGTCGGGTGAAAGAGGACAAACTGTACTCCCACTGCCAGCGGGGAGAGATAGAGACAGAGGTGCACTTCCTACTGTACTGTGACAGATTTTCTGGGATTAGAGAAACATTCTTCCCTAATTTCAGAAATCGAATCCCAGAATTCCCCAATCTTCCAGAATCACAACGGGTCCCTATCCTACTGGGAGAGGGAGGAGGGAACTGAGTTCAACTGGCAGCTCAGTATGTGATCTCCTGTCCCAGCCTGCGGAACAGTCTGTCTCCCTATATGTATGTTTACGTACTGTATATGTGTAGCTGGGATACACTTTTTTTTCTGTACATCTACCTGTGCCTACTCAATTAAATTGCTTTATAAGGTGCTTTATTGGCATGACTGATGAGTACAATCAGTGTGGCCAAAGAAAATAAAAATTAAATTAACATGAAACAAAACAAAAACAAAATAAAATAAAATCTAAAGACATGTTACAGACATTTACAACAAAGACATATCATAAAATATTTACATATACCCAGAGCTGCTTCCTCAGCACCAGCTGTGGCCCAATGCCCTGCTGGGTCATCAGGGTCGGATCCTGAGCCACAGTGCTCTGTGAAAAGCAGAAGCAGTTGCTGTAGACACTGGCTCAGCCAGGATGAACGTGCAGGGGTATGGCAGGAGTAGGGTGCATCCTGGGAGGAATAAGGAGCAGCAGCACTGATTCCTCATTGCCTACAGGCCTTAACCGAAGAGAGACTCGGCACCACAGACAGGCAGGATCGCCAGCTGTGTGGGGCTGCTCCTGGAGGACCACGGAGATCAGGCAGACTGGGATCTACACTTGTGCCCACTTATTGAGTTTTTCACATGTTTCCTTGTGCCATTGAGTGCTGTGGCCTCACACTTCCACTGTGCCTCCTGTTGTTCTCCCTGCATGTTTTGTCTAGATAATCCTGTTTCCTCTCATGTTCAAAGACACGCTGACCAGGTAAACTGGGATCTCTAAATGCCTGCCCTTGTGTGTGAGTGATTACACACGTGTGTGCCCTGCAATGTCCTGGTGTCCTGTCTAACCCATCACATCGCCTCGCGTCCCAGGCCTTCTGGTGCACTGTGAGAAATCTGCCAGAATCAGAACAGCTTCCAATCCTA